CATTTGTAATCCTCTGAGAAAACGCTTGATGGTCGCCTAGTTACGAGAGACAACAGGGGAGCACGAGCGTAAAAAAATGGTGAAAGAAACCACAGGCTTGCGCTTGTTATTTCAGGTCAGACTAACAACATACATTAAAAATGAGTGCTGTGGCTAGCAACAGTGAATAGATTGTAAATAAAAAAAGGATGTAAGGATGTCGTCGCAGTAGCTTTTTGGTTTCTTTTCTTGTGCATCCCAGCCATTAGCTCCCCATCTGAAAGATTTTTTTAGCATTGGGGGTAATGTAGTCATCCAACTTCACAATTTGTAATGTTGTAGTATGTATTTGAATAATGATGGTTGGTTCCTTTACTTGAAAGCTCAGATCTGATTATTGTAATTTGTTTTGTTTACAGAGTTTCTAACATCTTATTTATTAGGTTTAAGAGTGTCTTTAACATTTATGTTTACTTTTAAATATTTTTGTTTTAGACTTTTAAAACTATTTGCCTTAGTAATGTTGGTAAACTAAAATAAAGTGATTAAATAACAACAACAAAAAAAATCATAATATTGCTAAATAGATTGGTAAAAAAAAAATTTAAAAATCACAATACTACTTTCAGTTTTCATTTAACAATTAGTGTAGGCTTAATTTATGACTTAAAGTGTAAATCAAAACTAATAAGACATTTTTAAAGCACAATTTTAAATGTGTGTTATTTTATTAGTTTTTTATTTATATTTTTTCAATCTCAATAATATTTGTGCTTAAAATTATTTTTTTGTTGCTAAGGCCTCAAAATGTAATGTTTTAAAGTAAAAGTTTTTCTTGTTATAATTATTTACTGATTTTCAACTTTATTTAAATTATTCAAAGCGTTTTTACAGCTTACGTTTTAGTTAACCAAGGCAAACATGATATGAAGCAGGCAAGTGGCCGCCACCTCATCAGCCTTTCGGAGTAAATGAAAAAAGAATGGCATTGTAATGGAATACACAGATATTGCGTTTCACTGTGGCTGGAGGCTAAACTGGACACACGTTTTCCCTCTGTTGTGCTCTTTGCATTATTATAATGATCCAGAGCATCTTCCATTTTCTTTCTGCATTAGTGTCACATAAACTATAGAGACATGTGGTTTGTTGACTTTCCATGTCACTACTGAACAAGACGGGGTTGAGAGTTCAATCTGCAGTAACAGATGGAAGGCACACTTTCATATAATAAGAGGGAAAATTGTATATATTTGTGTGTGTGTGTGTGTGTGTGTGTGTGTGTGTGTGTGTGTGTGTGTGTGCGCGCGCACTGGACAGGATATGTTCAGTGGACTTGTCTGGTATGAAAACTCTGGAATGTCTGATATTTCATATGTGGTTTCATCAGGTGTTTTTGGAGTGAGACGTGCAGGTGATCATATTGTCTTTGGGTCCAGCTATGTTTTAACTGCATTAAAATTGTCAAAACTAAAGTATGCATTTGTAGACATTTTAAACCAAAGCAGCTTAATGTGCATTTTTACATTGATAAATAGAAAGCTAATGAAAATACACACATTAAAATGTGCTTTTTATGATTTTCACTTTTAAGTCAAATATAAAGCCTACATTAAATGTTAAATGAAGACTGACAGTAGTATTGTGAACAATTCATCATTATTGGAAAAATGATTGACACGATTTAATGAGAGAGTTAATATGGGACTGAAAAGAAACAGAAGAATCAAACATACCACCAAGTTATATGAAGATCTGAAGAAGTGACATCACAGGTAAAGTTGGTAGAGACCCCCTCTCATGATTGTGAAGCGCTCTGTGTGTATGGCCATACACAATAAATGTGCTTTATGAATACACATTACTTACATACTTTCTTACTTAAGATGGACATTAAACTGCGTGCTCCTTGGGAATCTAATCCTTTGCATTTTATAGGGCAATTTTTTATCAATTAAAATATAGTTGTTAAAATATTTTGAGTATTAAATGGAGGGTAACTTTTGGGGTGTTTCAGTGGTCTGACCAAAGCATTAGGCAGTTATTTGAACTAGGGAAAGATTTCCACTGAATAAACTCTTCTTGTTTATATTTTTGACATTAACACATAACAGTTTGAATAAGCTGAAATGGTAAGAGAAGGGCTTTATAACCATTACATTTACAGCTGCTTATTTTTTTAAAGGACTCACATCACGATGTGAAAACTAACAGGTTTAACAATAATAATTGCTTTGCTACCTGATAATGACTGTAGTCTAATAATTTAGTTGATCAGGAACTACACATTTACTGCCATTGACTGTCAAAATAATGGTTATTTTTATTTCTAGAATTATTACATCTACTACCAATAATTAACGTTTGTTAAATATAATAACATTTCCCAGAGATGGGTTGTGGCTGGAAGGGCATCCGCTGAGTAAAAGCTTGCTGGAAAAGTTGGTGGTTCATTCCGCTGTGGTGACCCCGGATTAAAAAAGGGACTAAGCCGACAAGAAAATGAATAGATAAATGAATAAATATAATAACTACGATTAAAGGACAATTTAAAGCATTTCCTAGGTTAATCAGGTTAAGTAGGCAAGTTATTTAAATTAGGAAAGTCACTGGACAACAGTGGTTTGTTCTGTAGCCAGTTAAAAAAAATTATGTATTAAGGAGGCTAATAATATTAAACTTATATATATGAGCAATATCACACGAGTAGCAGTGAGATCTGGCTGTATATCAGAACTGGTGATAAGCATGCGTTAGCATGAGGCTGCAGGCTTAATGTCCCACCAGTGAGGATATACAGCCATATCGCACCGATACAAGTGTGATATTGCATTTATACAACAGTTTGTTGGCATAATCGTGTATATAACAAAATAAAATCAAAACACAGAAATCCTAAAAATTCTTTTGTATGAGGAACTACTTTCTTCTGCCATTCCTTCACATCTGCAGCTGACGTCAGAACGGCGGAAACCGTTACAACTTCACAAACGTCACTTTAGGACTAGTGTTTGAATTATTACATGATGACAGAACAGGTGATTGTGCTAACATTTTAAGGTTATAGGGCATAAAATGCCATCAGTCTACAGAGATTTCTCAGTATTTCTCTGTTGCAATCAGGAAATCACAATAATTAACCCTGAACAAGCCAAAGCAACACATGCAAATGCAACTACCATTGCAAACAGATTGCCAACCAAAAAGTAACTCAGAGTTATAGAAAGAGTGGCTAACACAAAATACATATATTCCTCAATACACTACAGTTACTATGGTATAAATACAACAATGCAACATAAAAAAGAGAGATCGACCTAGAATATCACTCGCTAATATTATGATCAGCTGTAGTTTGAAAATATGCTGATCTATTCTCCTCTAAGGGCTTATTATGCGGTCTTTGTCGCCATCTTGTGGATGGACAAGGTCAACAGTCTTTTCTAAATGATAGGCTAATGGCCGCCGATGTGATGTCTCTACGAAATTATAAATATTTAAAATAGGTACTATCCTTATAACTAAACTGCATAGTTGAAATCTAAACAACTACATTCTTGACTAAAAAAGCCTCAGAAGTACATTATGTTGTCCAACAGCTGCAATATTGGTCAAACTGTAGTGAGTTTATTGATCTGCTGTCACTCTATGTGGGCAGAGTAATACAGAAAAGTGAGGAGGGTGTACAAGTTATGATATTGCAGGAAAAAAAAAACGCCAGCTATCAGCCAATCAGAATCGAGAAGCACACAGAACTGTTGAATATATATTCCAGCCAAACTAACGGAAAATAGACTTTCACCAGAGGATAGAAATATTATAGGAAAACATCATGTCGGACATGTTTATATAATTATATATATAATATTTTGCCTTCAACTGTATATAATTCCTCTCAAAATATTTTTTTCTCCACCTGATGCACAAGTTAAACCACTCAGATTTTGCTGTGTTTTGTTTAGTCAAGGGTAAGAACATATGTTTCTGTCTGTAGTAATGCTCAGTAACCCGAGGCTGTCATTGATAGAGTGATCCTGCACACACTGACACCAGTTCAAGTGTGACATTCAACCTCCACCTCCTGCTTAGGGAGGGCAAAGGTACTTCTGGTGTCATCCTGTCGATTAGCCGCCCGTGTCAGTATTTGGCTCTACTTTTTGTGACCTCTAGATGACTGTGCATTGTTTGACCTCCTTCTAAAACTCATAACAGTGTCTTACACGTATCACTTTATAAATACTCTAAAACCCATATAAAATGAAGATAAAGAAGGTAAATTCGTTTATCAGGGTGGATTTTGATGGTCTTAAAGTGTCTAGGAATATGTTCATGCTCAGTCTCCTCCCACTTAAACCCACCTGGGCTTCATTTCCTCACTTCCTCTCCCTGCACTTCATATCTTTCGCTGAGAGTTAAAACACCTGATAAAACGCCCCGCTGACACCTGAGGCCAGGCACAAGATACATTTCTGAATGAAAAACCCTGGGGGGCTTCATGAGAGTGTTTTTAAAGAAAGATTATCCTTTCAATCTTCATTACCTAATTTAGTTTAAACTTATTACATTTTGTATGATCTTATTAAAGGGGTAGTTCCCTAAAAAAAGATTTTTTTTAATATATTTACTCCCCATCAAGTGGTTTCAAACCTTTATACGTTTTTTTTTTTCTGTTGAACACATTTCCGCTTTCTTTAAAATATCTTTTGTGTTCAACAAAAAACAAAAATGATTTAAACAAGTGATTGAGGGTGAGTAAATGACGACAGAAATGAACTATCCACTTAAGTCAGTTGAACAGTAGTTTTTACTCTACTAATATTAATCTCACACATTCACTTATCTCCTTTGCATACATAGCATCATTTTTAAACATCATTGTCCACTGATGAGGACCTGACACCCATGAGCTGCCACTTTAGAGATCCAGATAGATTGTGTTATCATTTATTCATCCCGCTTCGCTTTCCCTGAAACTAGAACTAATCTAACCAATGCATTATTTAGAAATAGCGAACACTTACCTAATGCATATTTCAACACCAGGCAGCTGGAGTCTTTGTCTTGGAGGTGCTGATCACTTAGTGCTATTGAATGAGCTTCGGGATTGTGGCAGGTCACAGGTTCAAAAGCCCAGAGGTCAATGTCACACACCTAGAAGCACAATGACATTTAACGATTTGTCTGGTTGAGTCAACTCAACTTTTACAGTCAATGATCTGGAACTTTTTGGTGTGTGAAATAATAAAGATTTTCAGATTTATGCATTCGTTTAAGCATAATAAATCTTGAAAGGTCTTTCTGGTACAAAAAAAAAAACACCAAAAAATGGAGATGTTTAAGAAATTAAGGCAAATTGCTCTCACATTGTAGGTTGTCAGAGGTGTAAAACAGTTTTTAAAACAATTTTAGTGTCACTTGTGGCTGAAGTGAATTATACAAACTGCATTTTACCATTCAGAAGTGGGATAACATATTAGCTTATTAGTACGAAGCTTAGGGGCCCAATGCCATTCCTGCATAGAAATGCAGGAACGGTATTGGAGTTTCCTCTTAAATATTGTGGTTGGCTTGTAAATTAATCATTAAGAAAATCTTGGATTAAACGAGAGCAAGATAAATGTAGGCTTTGAAACTGGCCAGTATATTTACCCATATTTAGCTTTCAACATAGAACGTAGGAACAAACAGTCCTTTGGAAGTGGCTGAAACCCGCTCTTTTAGCTTGCACAGTGACACACCTGAAAGAGAGAGACCAGGCAAAGGTCCTTGCTGCAAGAAAGGTAGAATTTCACCCCCTTTGAAGTAACAGAGAAGGATTCAGGCCCCTCATTAGCCAGATAGAATCTACACTCAGACATGTAAGTTAGCGATTCAAATCTATTGGGACAGATTGAATTCCGTTAAATAGTGCTGTTTTTTAGTTTTCTCAGGCTCTCTTGGCTATCTCTTATGAGGCAGCAAACAATGAGAAACACTGCAGGACATTCAGTGGCAGAGGCTGGCTGGGAAAAATCCTCTGGCTGTCTCATATTCGCTCCTTTCACAAATCCCTCCATAGATAGGTTATCTTGGTGAATGGCAGTCTGTAGCCCCGGAGTCTCTGCTTTAAAATGATAATGATTATTTGAGAGGACAAGAAAAGAAAAACTTGGTCAGCAGATTTTTATTTATTTATTGACATTTTATTTATTTAGCTGGCCAATGAAAACAACGTCAAATCGAGTAAGCCTAATACTCATGGGATAACCATGACAATGCACTGATGTAGACAAATATGCCAAAGTTACAGTATCTTTTTAATGGAAAATGTGTTTGAGGCTGTTGGTGTAACTTGACGTGAGTTCTCTTAAATTTATGCAAAAAATGTTGAATATTCATTATGTCAAAGGAATAATGCTGTTTAATTCAAGCTTGTATACTACAAAATTGGCTATTAACCCTTTAAATGCTTCATTTTTTAAAGTTAATCTTGTAAGAAGTACTGTCAAAAATAATCATTAATAGAAATTATGGATGCCCTTCCAGCTGCAACCCATCCTTGGGAAACATCCACACACACTCATTCACACTCATACACTACGGACAATTTAGCCAACCCAATTCACCTGTACCGCATGTCTTTGGACTGTTGGGGAAACAGGAGCACCCGGAGGAAACCCACGCGAACGCAGGAAGAACATGCAAACTCCACACAGAAACGCCAACTGACGCAGCCGAGGCTCGAACCAGCAACCTTCTTGCTGTGAGGCGACAGCACTACCTACTGCGCCACTGCGTTGCCCATTATAGCAATTATATTACTTATAAAAATATATATAACAATAGGAAATCCTTACATTTATAGCACTTTTCTGGACACTCAAAGCACTTTACACATTGGGGGAATCTTCTCCTCAATGACACGACAGCAGCCATATTGCGCCAGACTGCACACCACATGCCAGCTGATTGGTAAACAGAAAACAGAGTGATGAAGCCGATTATAAAAGGGGGATACCCTACTCTTTTCGAAGTACATCCTGGGAAAGACGGCCCTCACGGAGCAATAAAGAGTCCCCTTCACTATACTGGGGTGTTAGGATCCACACAAACTGCAGGTTCACTAACACCACTTCCAGCAGCAGCCTAGCTTTCACATGTGGTCTCTCAACCAGCTACTGACCAGGCGTCACCCTGCTTAGCTTCAGTAGGTGACCATGTAAGAGATGCAGAGAGCTAGCAGCTGGCTCAAAATAAAATAAATAAGATAAAATAAAATAAAATAAATAAATAAAATAAAATAAAAAATTAAATTAAATTAAATTAAATTAAATTAAATTAAATTAAATTAAATTAAATTAAATTAAATTAAATTAAATTAAATTAAATTAAATTAAATTGAAATAAAATGAAATGAATGAATGAATAAATGAATGAATGAATGATTACATAAAAATAATTGAAACTTAGCAAATAAAAATTCTTAAGATAACTTAGATTCTAAGATGGAACTGCAAAAATACATATTTTCACGTAAAAAAAAAAAACACAAAGACATTAATTTATGTATAAGAAAATAGCAAATGATAATTCAGAGAAATATATCACAGGTTTAAATGGAAAAAAAAGCTGTTTACACAAAAGTCACAATGTCATCCATGCCCTTTTATCTTTCATCTGCTGTCCAGGGTGGTCCACGAAACTTGAAGAACATTCAGTTCCTCTTTAAAAATCCAATTAAGTGTGTAGCAATAATCAGAGTTCCCAGAGTTCTCATTCTCCTGATTGGTTCCTTGTCCCTAATGTTGGCAGGAAATGTCTGACAGAGGAAGTGTGTGATAAGACCAAGGTGTTTGCAGAGAGACGTGAGATTAAATGCTGAACCAACACTTCTGAGGACTTCAGGTTAGACCAGTGAGATGTAGACGGAGCTCATAGGGGTTGTGTGGAAAGGCAAGACACCTTAGATTGAAAACAGCCCATTCATCCTCAAACATGAGCCTTTGAAAGGATTAGTCTAAGGTTTCGGGTTTTCTCCTGTTGTTAAAATTTGTCTCACTAGAGGGACCCAGTGCCAGTGAAGTTTTGTTTTAAGCATGGACCCAAGAACAAGAACAGCACCCCACATCTTTGCCATTCTGATGACATTATGTAGATGAGAATGTGAGAAACAGTACTTTGAACTTTTGACAGTAATGACAATGATTTGCCAAGCAATGCACTTTGCAAAACAATATGAGGTACTGAGTAAACCATGAAAGAAATTGGCAACTGCTCCACTGAGCACATTGGAAAATATAGTTGCCAAATCTGAAGAGACTGCTCAGATATTATCTCGACAACAGATCATACTGTTTTATGATTGCAATCAATTACACTGGGCAAGCTTGGTTGCAATAACACATTTTCTTTCCCTCTTCTTTTGCAACCCTTCCCCCCACCCATAATGAGTAAACATCTCCCTCAGTTAGTGGTGGACTTCCTCGCTTCTTTGTGACTCCAACAGATCTTTTGATGCAAGATAAGTATGTCATGAAGCTGAAATACTTAAGCAACATGACCTGAGAATTTCAGAGAACAAACATTTTCCTTTAGGACACCCCCTCAATGTCTAGAAATCAGTTGGGTAATTACAGAAATGTGTCTCTTGCACCTTGTTTAGTTAAAGTACTAACTGGCTCGACTCTTAGATGCCCTACAGGTTGGAATTTAGGACTGAAGATGTGCCCAAATATGATATGAATGATATTTGCTTGGCAGAAGTTGAGTTTGGCTCAGTTTTTCCTCTGAAAAACAGAGAAAGATGTTGAACAAGCGGAGAATGAGCGGAGATACGGATTCTGTCAGACAATATGAAAAGGAAATTAAACAACACATAAACCAGACTCGAGACAAAGATGTTTTTCAGGATAAGCTCTGTCCCACGACAGCACTGATGTCTTATTTTGTTGTTGTAAACTTTAATGGAATAGACTTTTATAGTGCTGCTATAAACTAAATATATATTAGGGTATGGAGGTACAAACAGTTCAGGTACAGTCTAGTCTTGCTGTTTCTACCATCAGACAGAAACTGATGAGGACCGCGGTAAATGAGGGTAAAAGCGTCAATCAGCTCCAGGTGTCTCTGATAAGACTCACATGCCACGAGGTTGGGGTTGGGGGGGTTGCAGCAGTTAGCCAGAAGAGACCTGAACGGGCCAACGCATGGGACTTTCAGAACAGATGGGAGGGAAAGCGGTGGGAGGGGCAGTGAGAGAGAGGGAGACACTAGAGTGGGTGAGGCAATTGGGAGAAACATAGTGAGACAGATAGGAGAGGGGCGAGGAAAAATGCCCCTCGTCGCCTCTTATTCTGACGCACACATGCAAGCAAAACATGCATGCGCACATGCGGATCTTCAAAGCTGACTGCCTCTTATAGTCTCCCTATTAGTTAAAGAGATTACATCTGGGGCCCTGAACCAAATAAATAAGGTGAGAGGAGTGTCAGAGCTCAGTCTGCTCCACCTCGGGATTCTCTCAGCACTTCAGTGGTAAGCAGAAGGGAAACACTCTTAATCAGAAGGACATTGAGAGAGCTGGACACAGCAGGGATTACACTTTTTTCCTCCTACTGTGGATTCCTCTCATTTCATCAAGAACAGATTTGCTACCCTGTTGAATTTGGGTCATTTTTGCCATTCTTTTCCAGAACATTTTCATTGCTTCTTGCAGTCCTTGTTTTCTCCCATCCGACAGAGGTTCTGCAGTGGATTGTATGTGGGAGAGCAGGAGGAGGTGAAGCGGTTTCCCACAGAGGTGTTTTGAGTTATGGATGTTGACACATTCCTTCTGGACACGAGGGGAAATGGATCCAGCCTGAGCAGCCTAAGCAGACACGATCACTACGGACGCTTTACGGGGCTTCACCTCCTTGCATCACCCTTTCTCCCATCCAGCTCTTCAGCATGTACCTTTCTGTGAGGCTCTTCCCAGTTTTCCGAGCTCCAGGACAATGTGCAAATGGAAAGTGACTAAGGGTGCCTCAGCCTGGTTCCGTCTGTCCTGCCTTTCCCTGCCGCTGCTGCTTCTGTTCCTGTGTTCGGCTCTGCCTGTGGCCTGCCATGACACCCACAGGGCCATCCGTGCCCCGAGGGGCACCAACTCCTCATCGTCTGCCGTGGTGGGGCGGCATGTGCGCAGCTACAACCACCTCACGGGGGACGTGCGCAGGAGGAAACTCTTCTCCTACCAGAAGTTCTTTCTCAGGATCGATAAGAACGGAAAAGTCAATGGCACCAAAAGCAAGGACGATCCGTACAGTGAGTAAAGCTTGTTTTTCTCCTCTTTTCATTCACATGTGGGTCCCATAGAAGAAATGGCACTGCTTATTTCCTGCCTCCTTTGATTTCGGACTCAAACATCCAGCAGATAATATAAACCTTACCTGATGTTGGTGGGCGCGAGCTGCTGTGCATGGAGCTGCGCTGCCGAGAAGCAGAAAGCCCTAATGTTGATCCTTGCTTTTCAGGGCGCAGATTTATTCATAGCAGGTTTCCTGGAACCAATTTGAAATTACCAGGGGAGTCTTTCTTTTCTGTACAAACCGTTGGAAGTTACTCCTGATCATCACGCAGCACATCAGTTATCTTTAATATTGCTGTTGTAACTCCCTTGTCGTTTGCAACAAATGACTTACTTTCAAGATTTTATTAATTTAAAACATATGACAGGTGTTTTTATTCTGAGCTGAACATATCATCACGCTCATTCACAAACAGTCCTAAAATACTCAGAAGAATTTCAATTTCGTTTTACTGTTTGGAGCATGTCTAGATTCCGGCTGTGAGCTTGAAGCACCTGGCCAACACACCGCGAAAACTCCCTCTGCACTTTTTCGTTAGTAGGTTGCACACACATTGCTGCTAATAAAAAAAAGCTTTGACATATGGGTCCCATGTGCATGCCGCGTAGCTTTTTTAGACAAGGCTGTGCTGGAACTCCGCAAGACATGGCTGTGGGTATTTCAATTAGCCAAACGGCCTCTTAAATGTGTTGCACAGAAAGTCTCTTAATAAATCCAAGACTTGAAGAGTTCTGGAAAGCTTTCAACTACCATCAAAGGGTTTGCCCAAAAACCTGGACAGTGTCCAATGTCCACTGTTGTACATCTTAACCTATACATAATTATATCTGATAATGATTGGAATAAATAAAGGAATTTGCAAGCAGTTTTATTTAAATCCAACAAAACAAATTCAAAATGTATACTTTGTATACATATACAAATGTATCCCATGCTTAGTGATCTCTGTGTGATAAAAGATTCCCCCACTTGCTTGCCACATGTTACAACCGCACTGTCCTTGTTAGCTCCCTCAATGACCCTTAGGCATCAAGCATACTGGTAATAATGTTCCGGCCAGATGCAGTTAGTTTCAGAGGAGATCCACATCTCTTTTCAATGCTGATATATCTAAAGTGTGGATATGGCTTGCAATGTCTGCGGGAGGCATAGCAAAAGGGAACCACTTGTTGGTGAGTGGATCATTTCTCCAAAGCAGATTGGACCTCTGCCATCCCTCCACTTTCCCTGCATTTTTTTTACAGACAATATAATTGAATTTGAAGGGCCTCTGGTGCCCACAAGGTAGCAGCAGTGCTCACTGCATCCCTTAAAACAGCAGCACGGTGCAATGGTAATGTACAACATTTAAGACACCAGTGTTTGCTTGATTTATTCTGTAATCAGAGACCATTGTTGTTGCCACAAATGCCCGTAAAAAGGGCAGAAATGAGCGGCTTGCCATGTTATGTATCATCACGCACTTGAAACATCAAAACATCCTCAAATGATTTTACTCCAGTTGGAGCCACTGGCATTTTAAAAGGAACCAGCCCCTTTGCGGTGTAATATTTCTCTCGAGTTAGCAAAACGAATATTCCCATGACCAGCACTGCATGTTTTTGTATACAGTCCTGACATCGTGTTGAAAATTATCCTTACTTTTGAAAGCTCTGTGTTTGAATAGAACTGAACTCAATCAAAAGAGAAAGGTCTGCGCAAATTATATCTGTGCCTGTCAAACTTTATTTAGTCATGTTTATGAAAAGCACACTTTGCATTCTGCTGAAATGAACAGTTGAATGGACCCAAGGTCATTATGTTTTTCTGTTTTGAACAAGCATAACTTCAGCTGGAGTTGCAGAATGTAAATTCAGAGTTTAAGAAAATGACATATTTTGTTTACCAAACTCGATGAGACATTAATATAGCCGATTTACCAGCAATGCACATATAAAATGTCACATCTCGATGCAAAATTTACATTTACACCGCCGTAAACACTCAGCAGTGAATTATGAGAGAGCCAATATTTGTTTTGCATATTTGATGTGGAAAAATATTTGCAGAGAGCCTAAGTTTGATAGATTGTTACATTTCCCAGATTCAAACTCCCAGTCAGAGGGTCTCTTTGTCAATGTTTGAGTTCTCAAGTCCAGCCTTCTTTAGTTTTCACATCCACAAAAGACCTGTCTATGTGCAGCTTGAAATCCTATCCCACCCATATTGTTTGATTTCCTTTCAGAATCCATCAGCTCAGTATCACGTTTGTCACATTGTGTCTCCCCCAAGACATTTTTTGGAAACGGCACCCCGTGTTGGAACTCGGAGCTGTCCTCGGTGTATTGAGCGAGCCTAACAACAAGCTCACTGTGATGCAAAAGCTCTCACACGGACCAAACCAGCCCGAATTAAATCTTTCTTTTCCTGAATTGATCTCGTTTGCCCTCTCTGTTTATCACTCAGCTCTTGCGCTGAAGAAAACGTCAGCATGAACGTGAGCGCTGTTGTAGTTCAGCGATGTTGGCATTGCCTGGAGGAAATTGTTAATGAGGATCATTAGGGCTTGACAGCTTTGATTTAGGGGATGTGTCCGATTGGAGTTCAACTACTGGTTGAATCGCAAGGTCTAAAGTGCAGGGGTCTTTCCAATCATCATTTCAGCTTTTGGCCAGCAGATCAAACAAGGGTCAGGCCAGTGGTCATTACACGTCTCTCACTCCATTTAGAGTCACTTTAATATAATAGGGCTCAATACAGATTATTGCTGGTCTAATGAGGTGTTTCCAGGATAAACTCTATAAACTTTGCTTAGAGTGGTACTCGTGAAGGTTTCAAACTACAGGTATGCTTTTTTTTTTATCAATTATACGTTTATTTCAGGTGTTGAGCTGCGGAATACCCAATAAGATAAACCTGTATAAGCAAACAAACCCTTAACTGGAAGAAATTATCTGTTTGCTGAATGAATGTTAATGCTCATGTCTTTCCTCCTGCGTTCTATCAGCTTCCGCTGGTTTACATTATATAAAAGTTGTTTTGTCGTTTTAATGAGAGATAAAGATGAATAAGCCCATTCTGTCAAGTGTTTCTGTGAAACATGCGTGGAAAGACACTGGCCTGCTGGGTTGTGTTGCGCTGCAGTGTTGTTATGACTTTAGAGGGCCTCTCGCTGAGGCTGGTGTGACGCTAAATGCTTCATCGGGAACAATAAAAAAGATTACTGCAAGCGCTCTCAGCATCTCTGCAGGGGGCAAACAATCAGCTAAGGTTAGTTAGGGCAACAAGAACAAAAAAATCATAAACATGATGATTATGTTCCTTAAACTTATTACAATTTAAAAAAACAAATGTATAAAATATTCATTTCATTTGTGCTGAAAGATTTTAGCATTATTAAATTTGGCTTTACATTTTTAACATTATGACTCAATATCTTATGCATTACATCCATCTAGCAATTTCTGTACCAACATTTCCCGTGGTTTTGGCAATAAACCTTCTTAAGCAGCAGGTGATTTTTTTTTAGCAAGGATACTTTTTGGTGCCACCAAAGGTCTTGCAATTGTTAAATGCAGACTTGCACTTGTAAGAAAACATTTTAGTTTGATGGTCCATTTGTTGAATTTAATTACTTTGCATCTACATGCCAACTAATATTCAGATCATAAGTAGACTGTTGGGTTGGGATTAGGGTTTGTGTACATGTACTTAAAAAGTTTCTTATAGTCAGCCAAATGTCTGTTGTAGGAGCATTAGTATATATTAAGCAGACAGTCTAATACTGATACTAATACACAAATGGACCATCAAACTAAAGTGTTACCGAAAAAGGTCAGAATTCTAAATGTATATTTATTTTCAGAATTATTGTTGTTTTCAAAGGTGACATGGCTTGGTTTGCCTTTGCATTTATGCACACAATGTTTGGTCATAACAAAACAAAACATTTTGACAGTGATTAACTCTACACCATATGATTGACTGTGTTCATAATTACATTGAAATATTTAGTCACCTTCTGCTTCACAACTCAAATGTACTTGCAATATGCCTCACTGGTCTGAATGAACATACAGTGCTCAGCATATATAAGTACACCCCTCACAAATCTTTTAAATTTTTATTTTTAACAGGAAGCTATACAAATTATATTTCTGCATATACATTAGATTAGTCAGTACTGAAGCCGAATCAGAAGCTCACGATAACTCCAAAAACTAGTACACCCAAATGTATGTTATAGAAAAATATTAAATACAAATTTAAAAAAAGAGGAAAAATCAAGAGAAGCAAAAAAAAAAAGAAATTTTGTTGAAATTTGCTAGGTGGTAACTTTTTTTTCAATATTTTGCTTGAATTTAATTGTATTATCTTTCAATTTCTATATTATTTTAATAAATATATCTGTTTAATAAATCTGTTTTGTTTAAACGCACCAAAATACCAAATACCAAAATATAAACTTTCAAAATGGGGTGTGCTCAATTATGCTGAGCACTGTATGTATTATGTGAATTTAAATGACATGTTGCCAGCACTGGCCACATGGATCCTTCTTTTCAAAAGTGTGTGTGTGTGTGCTCTGTGGTTATGGTGCCCGTGGGAAATCTCAACCACACAAGTAATAAAAGTGACTTATGAGGATTGAACTGATGTGCAAAAGGTTAGTGTCAGTCTCTTTTACCTTGATGTCTTCATAGACTTTCTCTTTTCTGATTCATAAATAACAGAGCTGGTTTTACTAGACATTTTTAAAATCACAACAAGATCCATAGCACTCAAAAAATGCAACATGCTGACAACTTTGACGTGTTTACTTATAAGCTTTCAAGATGTTTGTTCCATTACTACTCTTGTTTAAATATTGGGGTCAATTTCTTAAGGACATTACTGTACTTTACCCAATAAGAATGAACTAAATAAATTAAAAGTGTCATTGCAGAAGATTTCTATTTCAACTAAGCATTTTTATTC